GAAGAAACTTATTCCAAGCAAGCAGGCTTCCTGCTACACTCTAAAGCCACAAACTCACCAAAAACAAGCCCTGCCTACTGACCAGCTTTGTTTGTTTTGCAATACTGCATAAATTTTAGGCCCAGCCTCTCCCACCAGATGAACTGCTTCTGAGCATACAACAGTACAATGACTCATATTTCTTTCTTAAGAAGAATAAGCACATCATCCAGCAATGTAGAATGAAAAGAGATCTACATGAGTGCTTAAAATACATAAGTGTTTAACTTAAACTTCCAATTTTAATTGTGTTTCTCACTGAAGCAAAATGGGTGATTTTGCTTCTCTCTGTTACCTTCTAGAAGTGCATGAAATGCCATAAAATCAACAAATTAATTGCACAGGTCATCACAGTGTAGAGTGAAATGACCACATCTCTCTGTCCTTTCATGAATTTCTCCTCTTATCCTCCTAGGAGGAGCATGTATGAGGCTTTTTATCACTCATCATGCGGTACCATCATAACGCAGATAGCTAAGTCAAGATCTGGAATAATACAATTCACCACCAGTTCACAAAAACACATCATACTATAAGTTCAGCTCATAGTCAGTTACCAGAGTCAGTGAAGTTTGAACCAGTATGTTTGAAACTGTGGAATTGTCAAGTAAATGCTTGAATATATATACATAGATATAGGCACATAATATCTATATTTAAAAAAAAAAGATCAGGAATCAGGAGGTGGACAAGTTGTTTGCTTGTCCAGCAAAGCATCTAAAAAGGTAACTATGAATGCACAAGAAATAAACAAGAATAGATATGTAAGAAATCTAACACAGGTTTATTTCTAATTATTTGTTATTAAACAAATGTGATCAACTGATAATTTTTCTTCAGGTGTCAGGATTTATTTATTAATTTTTTATTAAAATTGCCTCTTTCTCAGCCAGAGTTAAGGATTACTATCTTTCTGCAATAATCTGACAAAATGCCACGAAAGCTGACAAAATGTTATCCTGTCTTCAGAGGTCTTAAACAAACAAGGAATAAAACAGGACAGCATATGAATACAACTACAGATAATTATCAGGTCTGTACTTCTATAAATATTTCATTACTGCAATTTCTACTGAAATCTGCCAAATTTCACTGAGTGTACAGTGTCATTCAGTGGGAAGCCTAGGTTTTAGCACTTTGGTTTATTAATTGTGTGTGCCATTGGTTAGATTCAATCCGCGGGGGGAATCTTGTAAGGAACCAATAGAGTTTTTCTTTAGAAAAATATTGGTTTTAAAAGCACAAATAACTGATAGTTAAGATCCATCGAGTGTCAAAAGGAGATTCAGAATCCACACTCAGCACGGCATGGGCACTGAACTCCTGAATTCTTTTGGAAAATTCAACAAGTCAGACTAAAACCAGAAAAGCTCTTTTTGTGTTTTGAATTCTGTCTCATCCCATTACTGATAAAATACGCACGCTTGCTCTCGATCACAAGAAGAGAGAAGTATTGCTGAAAAGGGTGGATTACCTTTTAATATACTCACAAGCAGCAAAATGTTCTGAAACTAAATTGAGGACTGAAGAATACACCACGCAGTCTGATGCCAAGACGCGAGTATTGACTGGAGGCGCATCAAGTGGCTGAAGGAAAAGAGGAATTCTTGAAGGAAAGAAGTAGCAATAAACCACAAACTATTGATTTCTGTTAGGAGAAAACAGTAACAGGAACCATTGCAAGCTGGACTATGACAGAAATAATTAACAACAAGCAGAATTTTGTCACAGGAGTTTCAGGATAGTTTTAGTATTGGTAGCAAAGTATTGAATATGTCTATGGAGCGTTAATAGGTAATTAGTAGATTGTAATTAAGGTAACCCACATTCCCAAGAGCTTTCGTATGATGAAACTATCTTTGAAGAAAATACATTTCATTGTCCGTATTTTCAGCACAGGATACTTGAACTGTATGAAGTCTAACAACTGAAGAAACATAAGCCAAAGCTGGGATGCTGGTATTCTTAAAAACACAGCTTCCTCATAAAAAATGCAATTTTAACCTTAAAACAAATTCTCACAAACACACTTCAGATGATTGAATTTTTCCTGTTGCTAAGAGATGAAAAAAAGACATGATAAAGGAAGTTGGAACCACTTTTTATGCCACTTTTTCTTTGTTCATAATGATGAAAAGTATGATGAGAAAAAAAATTATTTTTATATAAACTACAGTAATATTCATGCAGTTTCACATAGAAGGAAAGTTTACTGGGATGCTTAAAGACATTAAAAAATCTTTCAAAATTATTGAAATCTCCTTCATTTTTTCATCACAATTCCCTTTTTTCTTTCAGCCAATGAACCAATCTTCTAATAAAATATGGAGAAACACACCATAACTATAAAAAAGTGAGACCAGGTGGTATTTCAAGTGAAGCTGGAGATCAGTTTGCAAATACCTCTAATTGCACATTAGTGCTTTATAAAACTACACAACAGAGAACTAAGAACAAAATTCACAGGAAAAAAAAAAAAAATTGCCCCTCAGAAAACCCTACTGTGCTCTGCCCCATGGGGGCCACAGTCACTCCATTTAATTTAGTTTCTTGTCATCTTCCATGTAAGAAATACCTCTGGGAGTTTGCTCTTGTATTAAGGTAAGTCCATCTGGGCTTAAATATACTTAAGTAACTCCCAGGACATTGTATTTTCCTGGAACTACGTCTTCAGCCCTTCCTAGAACTCAGACCTGTGCCTGACTTTTCAGGGCACAGTCCCAATCATAGTATGATTTGAGGTATTCATCTAGAGAAAGTCAAAACAAATGAAAGCCCTATTGTACATCAGTGACCAGGGAAACCTCAAAGGGACATTTGTGATGAATATGGTTTCAAACAAAGTCAAATTTGAATGGGTATAGCTGGAAGCCGTCTGTGTAGAGTCTCAGTGTATATGAGGTGTTGCTGGAAAGCTAGCTCATGGATATATCTGATTGAATTTTTCCCTCAAAGCCTGGAGGATGGTTGTTTATAGATTAGGGGTCTTTTCTCACTGAAATGAAAAAGATTTAAAATATATTTGAAGCTGATAGATAAGAAGCAGCAGGAACCACACTCATTCTGGACATAACCACCTCTAAATATAAAGGATAAAGTAAAAAGAGAATCTTAGAAAAATACCAAAGCAGTCCTGCAGCTGTGGAAGAAAGAACAATGCTTCTCAAGGTTAGTAAGAGCAACAGCTTGAGAAAGAAACCCTCTGTCACCAAAATGAGGGGAAAGACTGCTGTTGGCAGGCTGTGGCTGGTATTTTAAAGGGTAAAGTAATAAACCACATACAAGTGACAGGGTTGGAGGACAATGAAGTCACATTTATGTGTTTGGGTTTATTAGCCTTGAAGACTCAGCAACAAGGTAATTTTGCTTCAGTTTTCTTGTAATGAGGAACACCAGTCTGGCTCACTTCTCAAAATTTCCTCAGAGAAAATGTGTTATATGATGTAATGTTTAGTGAGAATAAACCAATTCCAAGATTTGAAATAAAACTACGTGCCAGAATATGTCATGCAGTCACCTCTACTTCCCAAAAATACCAGCTTTCATTTGACAGACATAATTCTTCTGCTAAAAGTTGTAACCACACGTGGGAAACAAGTTTTGCTCTTCCTCCACATGAATCATTTTGCCTTGGAAGTTCACAGAGTCACATATGTTTGTATGAATGCATGTTGTAAGCGTCAGATGAAAAACACTAATAGTAATAACTTGCACAGTAAAAGCAAGCAATAGTGCACATATTTCCTTTTTTTTTTCTACCAGTCTTTCCTGGCAAAAATATACAGAACTGGCTAAGTGCCTTCTCTTTGTCAGATAGCAGTCTTCATGTCCAAAGACATTTTTACGTTGTGCACTGTGACACCTTGCCTTTCGTTCCATTTGTGGTAGGGTGACCCTCATCTTAAATGACTACTCAACCATTAATGTTGTTTAAGAAATACAAAAGCTCATCCACATCTAATTAGTTTTATAACTGAGAAGATTACTATTTGAGTAGGAAAGACAAGAAACTTTTCTGTCCTCTGAACCTGATAATTGCCTGAGGAGTACTTTATGGTGTATAGCTGTAGACTTAGGAAAGAACAGTGGTCACCTTTTCCACTAGAAGTCCAAAGGATTTTGTACTTTATGCCTTTAATATACCCGTCAAAATTTCCGCAAAATTTCAACCTTCTGGCTGTCAGCCACTGACACCCACACTGCTTTGCCTCTGTCCATTGTATTCTGCTACTCATAACTAACATCTTGACATGACATTAGTCCTCTTCTTCAAGCCTGAAAAATATGAAACACAACTTGGACTAGACCATTTCCCCCCTTATCCCAGCAAAAGGGAGGTCAAGGACACAGAATACCTGCTTGCCAGCCAAAGACAGCTCCTACCCAATCATCATCCATACTGAATATTCTGCCAGTAGCCTAATTTTCCTGAATACATGTCAGCGCCAAGCAGCAGAACTGCAAGATTAAAATGGTTTAAAGTTATAAATGTTTTACGTCAAGAGCACAAAAACTGAACAAGTGACTGGATACAGGCAGGGTATTGCAGCTCCTTCTCCATTGTTTCCCACAGGATGACATGCCATGCTGCAGAGAAAGTAATAGCAGTTCCTCCCCAGAGACTACCTAAGATAGTCCTTGACACCCAAAAATTCTGTATTCATTAAAGGCATATTGCATATTGTTTTTCATCCTCTGGTGGATATCCATATCCCTGTCTTAATATCTTTTCACCGCTGGTACTCTGGTCATGTCAATGGCTGAGATATTTTCCCAGGTCACAGCTGTAAACAAAACAGTTCTTATCCATGGAAGAAGTATGGGAGTTGATAAATTAGAGTTGTGCAGTGGGCCAGTGAAATGCTGGGGTTTGAACACGTCTTCTGCAAACGCCCAACCTGTAAATACAGCCTCTAACAGTAACTGAAACTTTGACCTACTGGGAAATGGTCCCGGGTGCGATGGCCCCTTACAGGGCCACTCCAGAGGCTGCTGGGCTAGGTATTCATGCATTAGAGTTGGTGAAGATAAATCGAGGCCAGACAAGAGTTATTAACACTGGGATAGGGATCCAGATTCCCCCAGGACAATTTGGCTTGATAACCGCTCTCTTGAGCCTAGCCCTGAAAGGCGTTCACGTGATGGGAGGAGTGACTGATGCCAACTACCAAGGAGAGATTAAAGTAATCCTACTAAATAATGGTGAGCAAGATTTAGTGATCCAACCCCATGACAGGATAGCACAGCTATTAATATTACCAATCTTGAAAACAACGGTGAGGAAGGAGTACCCGCCCCAAGTTACTACTGTTCGTGGAGACAAAGGATTTGGATCCACCAACTTTAGTAAGGGAGCAAAGGTATGGGTCCAGGGTCTGAGTGGCCCCTCTGAGCCAGCTGAAGTGATAGTTGTGGGAAAAGATAGCACCATGCTAATCATGAGGCCTGGGCAGGAAAAA